GTAATCAATTAATCTGTAATCAAGTGGTAATTGCTTTAAAATGAATCGTACCTATGCATTCAGTGTATCTAATATTTTTATTTTGCACAACACACGATTGAGTCAGTGGAACTGTTTTTTTTTATGTTGAAGGGAGCTAACGAGCAGACGGATCATCTGATGGTAAGCGATCAGCCATCAGCATCACCCATGGATACCCGCAACACCAGAGGAGTCACAAGTGCGAAGGAGTCCTCTCTTTGTCCCTCAAAATTGGTGGATGTTAATACTGTATTATAATTCTATAAAGTGCTCCACGTGTTTTTTTTTTGTTTTTATAACAAAAACTGGGTTTGTTTTTACTACTATAGAACCATAAATATCATTATCGTAGGACCTTCAGATAACAAAGCAGTAATAATTAAAACAAAATTAATCAAATTTAATTTGCGCACATTATTATTCAATGAGCAAATTGCGTACGCCGTTCAATGAACTACGAAACAGCTGAACTCATTTTGATTGTACTATTCAAGGATATAGCTTAGTTTCTCCTAGCTGAAAACTTCGCCTGAACATTCAGTATTTCCGAAGCATCACTACTTATTTCGTTTCTGCAATTCATTATGGATGTTACGATCAAGAAATCGGTTAAAACTGGTGTTACATTATTCGGCTTCTTTGCAAATTAGGTTATCTGAGACAGTGAAGAACTAAAAATAGGCTAATTTACTCGTCTATAGCTTGTCATTCATTTTTCCAGCTTTCTAATTTTAGAAGACGCTGGTTTTTGGCGCCAAAACTTTACATTACTTTGAAAGTGGACTTGGTATGTAGATAGGTTCTCTTGATAAATAAATATTAAGTAATTTTATTAGTCGATCATATATTTTTGATATCGACATTATAATAGTGTGTATTTACAAAAATGAGTAAAAATCGCGAGTCATAAATCTACAGTCGTAGATAAAAATGAGGTTATCTTGCAAGTTTACTTAGCAAGTTATAAAATATACACTAAGTAGATACATTTTTGAAGTCCATTCATTCAATATTATAAACGAAAATACTAAACTGAAATCATTCGTAAGTTAGAGAAATGAGAAGAGATTATAGGAGATATTTAATTCCAATAATAAAACCGTAGCTAAACTAAATCATAGCATCAGTAGCACTACTATCAATACATTATTATGTTGGTTGCAAACTGGGTTAAAGAATAACCTGACTGTTTAATATTTGCACCAAAATAAGTCTATTTAACGACAAACAAAAGCACCAAATAACACAATCTTTATAAGCATTAAAGGAATAGACAATTTGCAATTTTTGTAATAGACTACGTGAACAGTTGCCACATAACAAAACATCATGCCTTTTATCCCCGAAGCAGTAGGCAGAAGTGCACATCACTATTTATGTTACGAGTCTCATGTAATAGGGGTGTGAGCCTATTTCTAAACACCGGGTACATATCCAGACTCCGTTCTACTACTGAAAATCTTTCTAACGAGGCAGTCAGTACAGTTACCATGTACCTATCTGTCTACGCATATATACTTCCTTACATAATAGAACATAACATTCACTAATAAAACATACTTACATAACAATAGGAGGTAATAATTACATTAAAATCTATGTACAAATATTTAAAGCAATACATTTATGTGATAGATTGTTCCGTTATCTGTACTCAAATAGAATGGCTTACAATTGTTTGTTTACAAACTGAAATCTAGGAATTGTTTCAGGGACTCGGTAGCAACAGGTTATTAGATTTATTTGGCACATCTGTATTGTAAATATATCTTCTTAGTTTAATTTAATTAAGAAAAATCGTGAATTTTAATGTTGCATTAAGAGATAGAAATTCAAATTTGAAAACCTAAGAAAGGACCTGAGTGGGTATGTGAATGTTGTCTGCAATTAAAGGTGATATTAAAAAAAATAAACGAATAGAATATGATTTGTCATCACCCACTCCTTTTCTTTCGAACTCCTTCCATGGATATCGAAAAAGACAACTAAATAAAAGACTCCACATTTAGCAGAGATGAAGAGGCAGCACTCTGATGAACCTGAACCATTTAAACTGCGTTATCCAACCTGCCTACCAAACGTACACATGTGGAAAACTCCTCTTGATGTAGGTGCCTAGAGGAAGCGCATCTTATGCGGAAGAAGATCATAAAGGCTTTTAATGATAAAATTAATTAATTCATGTTATTAATATAAGTTACCTACATTAGGTCGTCACATCAGAAGACTGAAGAAGTACCTATCACCATTTTAAATGTAAGCAAATACCCCATTTCATAAGGAGTTTAGTATGCGTGATGTAACTAGAGTGCCGACTTGTCGTCCAATGGAAACATTAGGCAGCTATGCAAATGTAATGCATTTCCTCATTTAAATAAACTTACTTCTGCTTGTAAAGTACTTAATGGGCTGGGTATTTTCTTCTCAATGTAAGATAAGTGTGGACAAAGAATAAATAGTTTTTGTAAGGGAATTATGCATAATTTTTTCAGACATCTCAAGTTCGTGTAATTTTCGTTTATTTTTTTTAAAGTTTCTCAAGGTGTACCGATAATAACTTAATGTCTAGAACATACTAACTTTCTATGAAGTTTTAAAAAGTAATAGAATGATAGTAGTATAATTAGTCATTTAAGTTTGGGAGCTTCGACACGAATAGGCCGGATCGAACGGAGTGATACCACGGCCTCACAGCAACCCGACGTGAAACAACACTTCGTCGTGTTTCATCGTACGAACTAGAAGCCTCCGTCCGATTCCCAATTCCCAAAATGTCCAAACCTCCTAAACAGCCGACAACGCATTGCTCCTGGTGTTGCGAACGTTCACGGGCGACGCCGATTGCTTACCATCAGGTGATCTATCCACTCGTTTACAGCGTCTACTTATATCATAAAGAAATAATCGTACGTTCAACCCGTGTATGGACAGTTGCCAGAAATTATGCAATGATACATGTCATTCTACGGGATAGTGATCATTAATGCATTGCGTAGTGACAATTAGAAAATATACAGGAAATAGACTAGTTAATTGATTTATCTCTAATTTGAAAGAGTAAGGTATTAATACTGACTGCCTCGTTGGCCGAGTGGTAGTAAGTGGGACTCTAAGGGTTCAATTTCTGGGCCGGGCAAAGTAATACTGGGTTTTAAAAAAAATCTCAGTAGTAGCACGGAGTCTGGACTTGTGCCCGGTATATGGCAATAGACTCATCCCCTACTACATGGGACTCATAAGAGAGTTTACCCTAATCTCCATCCTTGGCGGGTCTAACTTTGCGGATAAAATCCTTTAGGTTTATCAGAAAGCGCTGCTACCCGGTCTCCATCAGGTCTTAGATTATAGTTACTTTATTCATTTATTGGAACCAAATAATATGTAGGATGTTATTGAAGAACCTGGATTTATTACATGACATTAACACAATTTTATGTAAAGGAAATTATTCATAATAATTTAAAGTTAAGCTTAGGTAAGTGTTTTCTATCTAAGAGAATACACTCAAAATTTAATATAAGTACTTTGTATCGATCTACTGATTAGGAAATATATATTTTAGGTCAGTAATATAAATCTTAGTTATCATTGCACTTCTGATGCAATTTGGTCGCATTCGACATTTGCGAGTTTATCAATATTTACCAAAACATTATCCACTCATTTATGTATCTATCAGAATTATTTATTTTACAAACAGCGAATAAACTGCAAATTGATTTATTAACAACACAAGAACATTTCAGAGATAGTAGGTATCTTTTAATTACGGGAGGACACGTTCAAAAGGCTTCTACCTTTTTAACTGACTTAATAAAGAAGGAGTTTTTATCTCAGTTTAACCTATATTTATATATGTTTGTGTGTGTCAATCTCGCGATTGGCTGAACCGATTTTGACGCGATCTTCATTAAAGTGTTTGTTACACTTAAGAGAACATTTTAGTGGACATTAATAGAGTTCAAAAAGAGAGGGGATTGAAGTCGGTTTTTTTAAACGTACTAGGGCGCGTGGCATTTTTACCGAGTGAAAAACAGTGGCCACCTTCAGCACCTGAAAGGGGCACTGGGTCCTCTAATGAACCTGCTCCGGAGCCCCCATCATTAATTCGTCTAACAATACGAAAATCTTCAAATAATTAGGAATAGCTTGATGTACTGGCATTGATATTACTATGGTACTTTCAATAGTTAGTGTTCAGTTTACTTTTCTAATAACACAGTGAACTTCTATTGTTACTGATTGACCCAAACAATTCATACATATTTTATAAGACAATGTACTTCGTTCGTACTTAACGGTCGCACAATTTATTCAGTTTATAGCTCATTTCGACAATTGAAAACCGACCATAGTATTATATTGCAATTATAATTATAACGATAACACATTACAATTGATAGTATTAAATTGCTTAGCGTGATAAAATGTTACATCGATAATATTACGTAAAGATAATTATTATTTATTTGCATTTTTTTAAAGATTCAAGCACCGGATACTTGCAGTTCCATTCTATAATTCAAAAAATCTATTTCTCGCTTCGTTCATATTATTCAACGATCTAATCGAGATCTTATAGACATTATGTCGTTATTAAGTTATTATTTAACTATTCGTTCCGCCAGCAATATCGCACCAAGTTGTTATTTTAATCTGCATGTCGATTAAACCTGAATTTACCATCGCAACACTTTACATTATTTTAAAGACGTTCACTATTTAATTATATTATAATTCACACGAATTTTATATTTTATTGTTCACTTTATTAATTGCAACTTGAAAATGGCCATTCACAAAAACATTCGACGAAAAAGCAACGCGATTCTAAATTTGAAATTTTGGCGCGCATTATTTATTAAAAACGACACTTTATTTTTTTTTTCATTATTAATGATTTTATAACACAAAGGCACTGTAAAAAGAAGGTTGGTTTATTTAAAATTATTAAAATAAAATTAAAAAAATGTACATACCGATTCCGGCGATGACATATTGCCGCCACAGTTGTCCTGCCTCCATTCTGTACGCTTGCTGGTTGACTGGCGCACCGGTCTGACCAACCGGGTCGTAAGCGTAATTCCTATCTTCCATACGTCACGCGACGTCACCCGATATGTGTTACGTTGCTGTGTTTACGTTGAGTAGGGCTCGAGGGTGGATGCTTGGCAAACACCCGACTTATTGCCGCCAAATCTGTGGATGAAGACCTCGTGTTAATATAGTGCTGATGCTTTGGGATTTTTCCCATAGACGTGGCTGTGGAACCCCATGACGGGGGCATTCATCATCAGTTAAGACTTTGGCAAGGAATTAAGCCGGCTACACTGAGAGATCCATTGAGAAAAATCAATGGCGTTGGCATCCTAAATCTTATGCCAACATCAAGTTCTATAGCGTCAGATCTTTGGAATCCTGGACATAACATTTTTCATAATCTCCACGCATGATTCCATAAACTCCACGGTTATGATAAACCTCATATAATTAAAATACACACATACATAACCTCACGCCTGTCTCCCATGGGGGTAGACAAAGACTATGGAACGACAATTCTTACATAGGTTCGCTTCATTAACAGTCATCAGTCTTTTCATGCATGCTCATCGGTTAAGGACACTTTTATAATTACAACTACAATATTTTATTTATTTATTTATTTATTTATTAACACTTCTGTATATTATAACATACGATGGCGGACTTAATGCCGGGTGGCATTCTCTAACAGTCAACCATGGGGTGATGCAGAGATGTGCAACAGTAGGTGTAATAGGTATAATGTAAATTACATAAGATAAATTATCAATATTACTAAATAACAATACTATAAAAGATAATATATAAATTGGAAATAACATAACTACTACTACTAATAACTACATATATATATATATATATATATATATTTATACATATATATTAAATAAAATCGCCAAAATGATAAATTAAGTACGTGATGCGTCTGTCTGTTCCCTCTGCAATAGTTCACGAACCTTAACTTTAAAACTAAGCCGGCTGGTTGCCGTCCTGACATCCGTGGGCAGCGCATTCCACAGCAGAATGGATTGGACAAAGAATGAAGAGTGAAGGAAGTCGGTCCGGTGCGTGGGACATTGTAGAAGAAGATTATTAGTGGAACGAAGATACTTGCTGTGGTTTGCACTTATGAACTGAAAATAGGAGGATAGATAGCTAGGAGAAGTGGGGGAATTAAGAAGAGAGAATAAAGTGGTTAACGCCCGTTGTTTCCTGCGTTGACGTATGGGCAACCACTTTAGTTGCAACCGATATGCAGAGACATGGTCGTATTTACGCAGGTTAAAGACGAATCGAATGCAGTTATTTAGAAGGCGGTCAAGTTTATTGAGGAGATCTGCATTCAGGTCGTAGTAACACACATCAGCGTAATCAATTATGGGGAAAACCAAGGACTGAACAAGCATCGCCTTGGTCGACGACGGAAGGAAGTTTTTTAACCGATAGAGGGCTCGCAACGTCCCCGTGACTCGCTGACAGACACTAGTAACATGAGCACGCCAGGTTAAGTTGCCGTCGATGTGCAACCCAAGATTTTTGACATCACTACTAAATGGAATGACCGCACCGTCAAATCGGACTGGCGGTACCGTTGCACTGTTAACCTTGCACAAAGTGCGGGAGCTACCTACTATTATCGCCTGACACTTGCTCGGGTTGACATTAATGCCAAATTTCCCAGACCAGTTAGATATGGCAGTCAAGTCCGCGTTCACCTTCGCAACTGCATCAGGTAAGTCCTCAATCTTGACTTGACAGTACAATTGCAGGTCGTCGGCATACAGATGGTACGCACACTGAAGTTCGGAAGTGATAAGGTTTATGAAGATGGAGAATAGAAGAGGAGAGAGAATTCCGCCTTGAGGAACCCCAGCTTCTAAACGGCACCAGTTCGACGAAGCCTCACCAACCTGGACCAATTGCTGACGTTCCTGAAGATAAGATGAAAACCAATCCAGTGCACCATCAGAGACCGAAAGATGGGATAGGATAGCTAGCAATATCTGTAATTAGTCTTGGAAAGTAACTAGCCTTATTACAAATGAACATAACAACAGTAATCACAATTGCATTAGGTGCATAGGTACTACCTACTGATAAAATATATTCCGAGTACTAATATCGATTTTCCTTGTTCAATCATTATATTATATCTTCATCATAAAAACTCTTGTTCCCACACATTGTTCTAACATAGTATATTAACATTATCTGCTCACATTCTACTTGAATAATTAACCGAGTAGTTATGATAGAGCGCCATCATTATGTCTGACTGTTTGTAACTCTTAAACGTCTAAATCGATTTTGATACAATGGGATTAAAAATAGCTTTCAAAAGTAGAGCATTTTTGTGTTTACAAACTTTTGATTTGACTTAACTTAGGTACCCCTAGGCTAAGGCCAATATTGACCTTATAGGTATATGACATGTCGCGGAGAACCCAACGGGTAACCGGGGCTCCGGCTCGACGTGCAGGAGAAGGAACGGGGTGGTTTTTAGTCAGTAAGAGTCTGACACTCCCTCCCGCCTCACCCAGGCGGGAGGGAGTGCATACTGTATGTAACACACCTTTGCCTGTTATGTTACAAGTCCCATCTAATAGGACGAGAGTCTGGTTGAAACATTTTTTATACTATCTTTAGTTAGTTAGTTTATAGTTTTTATATTATCTCCAAGCTTCAAAGAATATTAAAAATTGAATTTATGGAAATTTCTATCATAAAACGTCTACTCATAAAATGCTGGCATTCAGTTGAATCCGGTTAAGATTCAGTGTCAACCAGAACAAATCGTAGTATGATAATCAGCTATCTATCAGTAATTATGCTGACTACCAAATCTAATCCTGATTGAACATCAGTGTACTGTACATATATGACTCTATATTTACGTATGTTACGGGTAAAACCTACTATCTATACATATCTATATCATCTAGATATATAAACAGGCTTGCAATATATCGGCACATGTATTTATTGTGATAACTTTGAGATAAATAGCAGATACTATATTAATATCGTATAAACGTTGGTATGTATATGGACGATGTTTTGTAAATATTTCAGTAGAAGCCAAGTACCTATGTGGATTGAAGGAAATAGATCGTAAAATATATTTCGTTGTCGTTCCGAATAACGTTCGTCTTGGTAATACAATAGTTTTACAAATAAATAAAGTGTTTAAAACAAGAATTACTGGTGTACCATTGCAAGAGGCAAACTTTGAAAGCGCATATGATCTCGTAGTACATCAAAACATCACGCCATGTAATTCTCTAAGAGGTGTTTCTCGTAGGGTGGCAAGTGCGATGCGAACAGATTTAAGTCTAGTGAAGAAATGATAGATTTTTTTTATCATAAATAAATTACCTCTTTATATTATCTTTATATTACCTATTTATTTGTTTTACGAAATAGATTTCACGGTGTATAGAATATTATTTGTGACTGCCTCGTTGGCCGAGTGGTCGCAAGTGCAAGGCGCGTCGGGTTCGATTCCAAGGTCGGCTAATTATTACTGGGTTTTTAAAAAATCTCAGTAGCAGTAGCACGGAGTCTGGAATTGTATCCGGTATATGGCAATAGGCTCATTACATGGGACTCTTAACATAAATAGTGAAAAGTAGATGTTACATTGTACAGTGGCATAATGTGCACCTCTTCCTACCCCTTCGGGGGTAAAAGGCGTGATGTTATGTTGTATATGTGTGGAATTCGTTTGTAAAGTTGGTCTTTAAGATAGGAGAAAATTCAGACGTGGAGCTAAAGAACCGGTATTAAAAACACTGATAATAAATTAAAGTTTAGGCAAAGACATTTCTAAATTGGAAGACGTGAACTACATTCCCTAATTAGACTTAACAAAGAAAGAGTGTAAAATCCAAATCAGTTGAATAATATTTTACAAAAGGCTTGCTCAGTTACCTAAATTTCTAACATCTGTTACGATATAAAAAGTTAGATAGGAGGAGATGGCGGGACGAATTGGACATCTATGACAAGGATTGGCCGCAAAAAGCTTTACATAGAGAGGAGTGGAAGGAGGGTAGGCAGGACTTTGCCCTGCAGTGAGACGATCATGGTTAAACATAAATAAATAGGTATATATAAATGAAATTATACACGCCTATACTTCATAGGCGTGTACAATTTCTTTTGTGAAATCGAAAATGATACACATTACCGAGCGTGGGAAGGAACATCTTTTACTTATCATTTCGAGATATATAACAGACTAGTATAAGTGTTATTTATCTTACGAAAATAACTGCTTAGATGTTTATCTGGCTGGGGAGTTAAGTTTTTATCATTTACGTAAATAATTTTATAGAGTTAACTCGTCGAGTACCGGTTTTGCAGACACAATTATAGAACAATAGGTTGCGGTCACCGGTGACCGCTTGGTATTTGACAGTTTAAAGATAACCGGTTAAACGTAAGTACCTATTACACTATCTAACACGATGTTGCACTGTTTTTGTACGACTAGCGACATCTACTGACTGTTTGAAGTACTATTAGATTCAACAGCATCAATTTTGAAAATCAATTTTCTTCTAAAGTCTCTGACATTATTACTGAATTTCCAGTTGCTTTTATGCTGTAGTAAAATCCCTATAAATTATAATATCGCATTAATTTTATAATTTACTAGATACGTACGTGACAAATGAATTAACAACGTAATCATAGACAATTGATATTCCGTCCACAGATTCACAACGGAAGGCGAGGTCGAGATGAATAATGGCGTCCAGCTCGCTTCCGTTTTCCCATTTCCTATAACATCTCTCAATTTGACACACTAAACACGTTATACAAGTGTCAATTTTCCTCTCACTTTGGTTGCAAAAATATTCTTTCCTTAAGGAAAGGATAAGGAACACCTCATGATCAGATAACAAACCTGACTTGCAACAAATTTGCATGGATTCGAAATTTTAGGGAATTTGTACGTACAGGAAAATATTATAACATTGATAACTTGTGAGTTTACCTAAAACCAGGTAATTTTATGAACGAAATCCATGCAATTGTCATTTATTCTTCTTATATCTATTTTTAAACTGTCAAACACCAAGCGGTCACCGGTGACCGCAACCTATTGTTCTATAATTGTGTCTACAAAACCGGTACTCGACGAGTTA